ACTTCCTTTGGGAGTTTTAGTTGGAGAAAATCCAATATCGTTCGTTTTTTTATAAGGCTGTTAAAATATAGTTTGAAAACATTCAGATAGTTGTTTGAACCAGATTCAAAGTAGTTTGTTGAAATTTTCTTTTTAAACATTATTCGTTTTACAAATTAAATAATTTGCAATAACGTACAATAGTTTGTTATATTACTATAATATTAATAATAATATACTGTTTTTGTGTTATCTAACTGCGTTGTCGCAACTACTTGTACGATTTTAATTTAATAAAGTCTTTTAGATCACACACGTGTTTTTAATAATTAATATTTTTTAATATCTTGTTGAATACTATTCTAATATCGTCACTAATTGAAGACGAAACATGGTGCAATCGGTATTTTAAATAAAAAATCGATTAATATGTATATTATAATATGGGTAATAATGACGGATTACGAAAGGTCGGAAAAATTGAAATCGGAAGGTGACGTACAAGCCAATTTCAAATTATTTAGGCAAGAAGTAGAGATCTACTTCACGGCTAACGAAACGACTAAAAAGACAAAGAAAATTCAAGTCGCCAAACTGTTGAAACTGATGGGTCCGGAAAAATATACTTCCAAAATGAGGAAAATAATGTAAGCGCAATACTTGACGCAATGGAGACATGGTGCATACCGAAGCGAAACTTAATAATGTCCAAATTAAAATTTTTCCAAAGAAAACAAAATCAAGTAGAACCATTTAATAAATTCGATACAGATTTGAAAGAATTAATAAAAATATGCGAATTCAAAGATGCAAACGAACAATTACTAACAACACAAAGAGTCTTAGGCATCTGCAATAAAAAGTCTTAAGAAAAACTGTTAGAAAACAATTTTTACTTAGAAAGAACAGTTCAATTTTGACAATCCTTTTTAGTGGGTGTGATGAAAGAGGACAATTTGGAGTTGGATTTGTAGTACGTAAGAATATAGTACCAACAATAAAAGAGTTAGAGTATTCAACCCAAGACTAGCGTTACTAAAAATAGAGACTAAGTGGTTTGATATCGTATTCATTAACGTACATGCATCCACGGAGAACAAAACGCAACAAGAAAAAGAAGATTTTTATATTGATATAGAACTACTACTAGAAGGGATAACTAATAGCAAAATAAAAATTGTACTAAGAGATATGAACGCCAAAATAGGGAAAGAGAGATCATTCAGACCAACTATTGGTATCCACAGTTTGCATGACATAATTAATGACAATATAACAAAAGTAGTAGAGTTAGCCATAGGAAAAGGTCTTAGAGTAAAGAGTACAATGTTCCCGCATAAAAACATACATTAAGGTACGTGGATATCACCTGATGGTAGGTACTCAAATCAAATAGACCATATATTGGTAAATGTAAGATTCGCCAACAACATAAAGAATGTAACCTTAGGGTTAAGCTAAAAACAAAGAGTAAGAAAATGAAATCGGAAATAATCAGGTATGATGTAGAAAAACTCAAGGATAATAGGAAAGTTAGAGAGTTTCAAGAAAATATACAAGAAGTTAACTCAAATCCTGAAACAGTAGATGAACAATGGAAAATAATTAAACATGCCCTTAGAAAAGTGTCAAAATTCTGAGTTTTGTATCTTATATTATTTTAACATACTCAAAAAGGAAAATACACTGATTTTCATAAATATTATTTAAATATTGACATAAGGTTAAACTTATTAAAATTGTACTAATTGGTTTTTTATGACATCGATATTAGCAGGTACACAGCATTGTTATTGTTAAGGCTCAAACGAGTTATGTGCTGCGCTCTATGCGTGAAGCCGGCACCTAAAGGCTAAGCCAAATCACATGGCCGGGCTACTCTCATTTCCTCCACCTTCTTCCTCTCCTTTGTAAATATTAGGTTAAGATAAAATTTTTTGTAAAAAGAGTCAGTGTATGTTTAATACTGAGTTCAATGTATATGTGTATTTTTGTTGAGTAATTTGAGCAGATATTTATTATAAATTTAAATTATTTTAATTCGTATGAGTACATATATATATTGTTTATTTAGTTTAAGTGAGTTTTAGGTGTTGTTGCAGCTGGCCAGTGCACACATATATCAACGTTTCTGCGAGTTTCTTTTAACAATATTTATTTTTATTTATTTTGAGTATTTTTTTTTTCTAACAATAAGGCTAAGGGGATACATACAAGTCAGCAGAGTTCTGATACTAGAGTTTAATTATATATTATTTATTTGTAATTGAGTATGCGTGAGCAACTAGTCATTTAGAGAGAGTAATCTATACAAATATTATTGTAGTCAATTTTTAACACTCACAATTACCGAATTATTAGACAAATTATTATAAACACTTATTGATTTATTTCATTAATTCTATTATTTATGTATCGAAATATTTTAGTTTATGTATGCTAGAGTTATAAGGGTGTTTATTGTTGAGCCAAGAGGGCTATTTGTTGCACATTATAATTTGATTTGTTTTTTATTAGTTACCAACCTTTATTATCATTGTTTTTAAGGAGATAATTTTGATATATAGTATTTATTTATTAGTTTATATTTATTGTTAAATTTTTATAGGTTTATTTTGTATAATAATATTCAGAGTTTATATATATATATATATTTGATGAGTTTTAAAACTATCTAGTCATTGTTTTTTATTCATAGTTTAAGTTACTTCTGTTACCTGTCTCACACACCCTCTTGTTTCCTGTAGACAACCTCTCCGGCTTCAAGTAAGGTGTGTGTGTGAGCAGACGATCCTAGTCAACTATACAGTCCACTTATTCCTAAAAAAGAGTTTACAGGTGCCGGGGTAAGCGGCATAACATTTGTTGCCCCCGCCCTAACAGTTATTATCAATGGTAGTAAGGGACATTGTTGCGAGTTTATAAATACACTAACCGACAATACAGAAAGTATATCTATTGATAGTCATAATTGATAATAAACTATCCGTGACTGTGACAGAAATGTCCATCCAATTAGCTACCTATATTTATAATCCCTTGTGTTTTATACAAGTATATTAAAAGTATATTAAATCAAAAATTTTAATCTTTAAATGTTTATATCTAATACACTAATAAAGTTATACTAAAAATTCAAATGCCATTTACTATTAAATTAAAAATCCAAACATTCTATTAAATTCAAAATATGTGTTCCCATTAAAAAAAAAAAACAAAAAACAAAGTTGACACCCTTACGAGTCATAATGAATGATGAACATAAAAAGTATTAAATAGTTAATAATTCAAAGATAATATGTAACTAAAGATAACTAAAAAAAATGATTAAATTATTATTACTCTGTAAGTAATTGAGTGGGTTATGATAAAAAAATCACTCTGTATATGCCCAATCTATAAAAAAGACGACAAGCAAATCTGTAGTAAATATAGAGGAATAGCACTGCTAGATACAACTTATAAGATATTATCATATTGCATCCTGAATAGAATCAAACCTCTGGCCGAAGAAGTGGTGGGGGACTATCAATGTGGATTCAGGCAAAACAGGTCAACGACGAACCAGATCTTTATAATCAGACAGCTATTCTAGAAAAACTGGAAATACAATAAGGAACTCCATATAATCTTTGTAGATTTTCAAAAGGCGTATGACAGTATAGATAGAACTAGCATAACCGAAATTTTGAAGCATTTCCATTTCCCAAGGAAAATAGTACATTTAATTGAAGCTAGTTTAAAACAAACTAAAGTTAAAGTCAAAGTAGGAAACGCAACATCAAGGATGTGGAGGTAAAAACCGGACTTAGACAGAGTGATGCCCTATCACCAATCCTTTTTAATTTAGTATTAGAGAAAGTGATCCGAGAAATGAATATTGAAAGAGATGAAGGAGTAAAAATGGATAGAACTTGTTTTAGTCTGCTCGCCTATGCAGACGACATAGTCCTGCTAGGGGAAGAGGAACAAAAAGTGGTAGACTTATGTGACAAGTTAATAGAATCGGCAAAAAAGGTGGAGTTACATCTCAACACGGAGAAAACACAATACACGAAAGTTAGTAGGGAACGAGGTAACGTTTCTATAACTGAAACCATAACAGTGGATCAATACGAGTTCAAATAAAGGATGAATTCAAATACCTGGGAACTGTTGTTACACAGTAAAATGAATGTCAAATAGAAATTCAACAATGAATTAAAATGGGAAATAAATGCTTCTATACACTAGGCAAACTTTTAAGGTCTAAAATCCTTTCAAAAGAGGTCAAAACTCAGTTGTATCTGACAATCATACGACCAAAAATCATGTATGGTTCACAATGTTGGACGTTACGAAAGACGGAGGAGGATAGATTACATATTTTTGAGAGGAGGGTACTCCGCAAAATATATGGACCCGTATATGATCAAGATTTTCAAGGGTGGAGAAAGAGACACAACCAAGAACTGATGGAGATATTCAATAAACCAAGTATTTGTAAAGAGATCAAACGTAGTAAGTTGGAATGGACAAGACACGTATGTAGAAAGATTCAATGGTTCGAAGAGTGCTGCAAGAAAACCCAAGAAGCAAAAGACCAATGGGTAGATCAAGGCTACGCTGGGAAGATGGAATCAAAAATTATTTCCTAAATGTTAGAGGAGGGGATTATGGCGGCATGGATTGAAAGGAGGCAGCGGTAAATAGAAACGAATGCGGGAGAGTTTTTTCTACGACAAAATGGTCTAAAAGGCCATAAAAAAAATATTGTCGTCACTAATAAAAGACAAAACAAACACAAAAAAAAAAAAGTCTGTAAAAATATATTTTTAATTACATAAATTATTTAATTATTTAACAAAATAGTTAAGAAATTAACTCCTTATTTAGTTAATTTTAAGAAAGATCAAAAAATTTTTTAAAAACTTAGCAGGAAGTCATTAAATCTAATAACTTATTAGATTCAATTACATAAAAATTAAAATCAACTTTTGCACATATTTTACAATAGAAAAATTGGTTTTTTAATTTCCACAAAGTATTCTGTCTCTCAACATTGAACTTGAAACCTAAAAAATTACAAAATTTTAAATTTTTTTTTAAGTTAAATTATAATAGGTCATCGCACTTAATAAAAAAAATTTAATTGCCAGGGGTGCATATTTCATAAAGGCCGGCTGTAATTTACGGATGTTACCAGATTTTACTTTTACATGTTTCCCTAAATCAAGTAAATAAACATTATAAACATCATCCACATCGACTTCATTTTCGACCAGGTCACAAATACCCCTAAACCATTTACCGTTACCTAAAAATTAAATAATAGAATTATTAATTGGAATTGTTCGTAAATTTTGCTTTGAATAAAATGTTTATTTATTAGGTAAATTATTGAAATATCCAGAGTTTAAAACACGTATTAAATGATGCTTTATACTTATTAAAATTAATTAATTAACTACACTTGAACCATGAAACTTCATAATTTTGAAACTTTTTTAATTATATGTTAATAATTACCGTATGTAATGGCACAAAGCTCATCATATTGTGGTTTATAGAACTGTATATCTGTATCATTTAGAGTGTAAAACAGATTCATTTTATTTTTTAAAATACTCATTTCATGCTCATCATTAACATTTGCCATATAAAAATAATCTTTTGAAAAACGAAGCACTTTGAAAGCATAGACTAGATTAATTATTAGCTTTCGTTCAGGTAAATCCCACCGCAGACTATAAATTTTTGGTCTATAAACCTGATTATTGTAACAAGTTTGCACTTCGCTTTTTTCAAGGACATCTACAGTTTCCAAAAGAGAACTTTTAACAGATGACAATAAAGAACACTGAGTCCCTGTAGACTTGTAATTTACAGTTAAATCCAAAGGTAATTCATTCATTTGCGTAACAGACTCAATTATTTCTGCAATGGAGTTGAGCTGTGTACATTGTTCGCTTGATAACACAGAACTCTGTGTACCGGTCTCTGTGTATACGACATTTAATGTCGATTCATCTGTTTGGGTGATGCACTCGATTCCCTCGGCAATGGAGTTGATCTGTGTACATTGTTCGCTTGATAACACAGAACTCTGTGTACCGGTCTCTGTGTATACGACATTTAATGAAGATACATCTGTTTGGGTGACGCTCTCGATTCCCTCGGCAATGGAGTTGATCTGTGTACATTGTTCGCTTGATAACACAGAACTCTGTGTACCGGTCTCTGTGTATACGACATTTAATGTCGATTCATCTGTTTGGGTAACAGACTCATTAACTGTAGATAATTCGTTGGTTTGTGTACATTGTTCGCTTGATAACATAGAACTCTGTGTACCAGTCTCTGTGTATACGACATTTAATGTCGATTCATCTGTTTGGGTAACAGACTCATTAACTGTAGATAATTCGTTGGTTTGTGTACATTGTTCGCATGATAACATAGAACTCTGTGTACCAGTCTCTGTGTATACGACATTTAATGTCGATTCATCTGTTTGGGTGACGCACTCGATTCCCTCGGCAATAGAGTTGATCTGTGTACATTGTTCGCTTAATAACACAGAACTCTGTGTACCGGTCTCTGTGTATACGACATTTAATGTCGATTCATCTGTTTGGGTGATGCACTCGATTCCCTCGGCAATAGAGTTGATCTGTGTACATTGTTCGCTTGATAACACAGAACTCTGTGTACCGGTCTCTGTGTATACGACATTTAATGTCGATTCATCTGTTTGGGTAACAGACTCATTAACTATAGATAATTCGTTGGTTTGTGTACATTGTTCGCTTGATAACACAGAACTCTGTGTACCGGTCTCTGTGTATACGACATTTAATGTCGATTCATCTGTTTGGGTAACAGACTCATTAACTGTAGATAATTCGTTGGTTTGTGTACATTGTTCGCATGATAATAGAGAGTTCCGTGTAGCAATCTTTGCATGGACGACAATTGAAATTTGCGTATCTGATACATTAAATTCAACGGCAGTGTTAGTCTGGGTGAGCTCATCGACGTGAATAACTTGTTCATTGAAATTTGATGATATAACTCGAGTGGTTCCCTCTAGTTTATTTAATTTTGAGTAATAATGTACTGAAAAATATTATTAATAAAAATTATTATAATAATATTTATAGAAATAATATTATAAAAACCCAACACAAGGGGGTCGACACACAGATAATTTTGTTAATAATTTAATAAAATTGTAAGTATTTTAAAAAAGTAAATTAAAATTTTGACCTGTTAAAGCAATAGGTTTATTGCAATTTGTAGTTGAATTGAATGATGATTCATCCGTTTGCGTTTCAGACACAATAAACTGAGCTTTAGTGTTGATCTGAGGATATATCTCAGAAGATAATATTGAGCTTTGAGTAGTAATATCTTCTGTCGATATAAGTGTCGGTAATTCACTATCTATCAAGGTGGCTAAATAAAGTATTGTAAAAAAATTAAGTCTGCTATTCTTGTTAATAGCTGAGTAAGTATTGAATTACTTCGATTTTAGTATAATATAAGCTTTACAATAGTAGTAAGCAATTTTTGAACTCTTAAGCAATATAATAATTCCATATAAAAGGGAAATGCAGGGTAAGCAAATTAATAATGGCGGGGAAAAGAATATAAATGTGAAACATGAAAAGTATAGGAGGACTGGACGAGACTGGACTTTTTGATGAAGAAACGTCGAATTACGGGTCAGGTCGTAGGTGTGCGAATAACTTTGTATTTTTGTAAGAATTAATTAATTTTGTGTTAAATTTTTATAATATATTTGACTTTGTGTTTTTACGTTATTTAAATAAAATATTTATTTAAAAAGCTCTACTTGAGAGCAAATACTTTATATCCGACGTGATATTAAAATTTGTGTGTGTGCGACAAGAGTCGTGGTTGGACTAGTTGTCCTTTAGTCAATCTTAATAATTAGTGTACGAACTGGCTAGTTTTTGGACTTAACCGTCCTTTAGTAGGAATAGTGAAAAAAGTAGTTGTTCTGGTGGCTGACAAGGAGCCACACTTCAGTCTGCTACTTTTGAGCTAGACCGTGCTGACGGTTCTAAACTCTACCCCTTTAGTAGTTCACTAATTTGAGGGATTGGGGCTGAGCAGTTTATCCAACGGGAGGACTCGAGAAGAGCTTAAACGACGAACTCGTCGTCAATATATATATATATATATATAATAAAAACATTAATTAATTTGTGTAAAACTTTTGTGTCCACGTTGGGACACTGCCGACGTACGACACTATCTTTTGTAGAAAACTAATTATTTATAAAGATTATCAATTTAACAATCGTTCAAATATGCACAGTTACCTCTCTTCTTATTTTTGAAGCCAAGCTTCGTCTTTAAATTTCTGCAATAGCGGTTTATAAAATTTGCCATTTAATTTAAAGTATTCAACAAGTATTAAAGTACAATAAATAAGATTTGAATTTTATCTACTATTTATTAATGTCACAGATGATTTTATAGCAGAGCGGAAATCAACATAATTAGTAAAAATACACAAGGTATCTATGGTATTTATTTATTTTCAACCAACTAATATCTCTAAATAAATAAGTATGATAAAATCTTTTATTTTAAATTGAGAATTGGAAAAATTCTTATCAATTTATTTATTAATTACACATTGACTATTTACCCAACTAGAACTGAATAATGACGAGAATAAAATCAAATAATCATTTTGTTGCGGGACTGCGTTTGTAACGGATTCATTGGGTCTAATATGTAATACTCTTTAATTTTTAAATTAATGTAATCCATGAATTGCATTTGATTATTCAGCATGCCATGTTTTTAGTTCTACATTGTATCAAGGATACTTGAGGAATGTTTTCTTTTTAGCTTTAGCACAATGTTTTTTCAATTTTAGAAACTATTGCTGATTGTATTTTGAATTTTTAGTTGGATTCATTGGGTCTAATATGTAATACTCTTGAAGTTTGAAATTAATGAAATCCATGAATTAAATTTGACAATTCAGCATGCCATGGCGTAATGACTGAATTATTTTTTCAAAATTATATCTAATTTCTGTTTTTTTATTAAACTCTAAAATTATAAATCCTGCCTGTTTTTTATAGTCTTTAGCCAAATAAATATCAATCATAATGTTGTTAAAAATATTATCATCGTACAGACACATAAAATAACTATTTTCTGATATTTGTATAGTATACATTGTATGAAAGTTAGGTTCTACAAGTGAATGAAATAAATAAATTCTTTGTATGACCTGTTGTATTTTATCTTTATTTTGGTAATTTATTACAGTATTGATCATTTTTTAAACTATGATCTTGGGTTAATTTAAATTTGATCCATAAAATAATCCATCCGGATTTGTTAGTCGTCATCAGTTTTATCAAATGACAAATTCAACAAATATTCTTTATATATAACTGATTACAATATTTTGTCAGTATTATCCAACAATATCTTTCCCTTGGTGGATTATTTAGACTGTTTAACAGATGCGCTATCCTTTTTTAGAATAATTAAGTAAAGTTAGCCCCATTTTCATTATTTATCCATCATTTTTCAGACACATTTTTATCATCATAACATACCATTTTAGATTTTTTTTAATATACAGAGTAATGTCTAGAATTAGTGTCATAGTCTATTTTAAACATTGTAGCTGACGGTGTATAAACGAAATCTTTTATTGTAAATCGAAAACTGGAAAAATTTTTACCAATTTTGACCAATGACAAGAATAAAATCAAATAATTATTTTGTTGCGGGGCTCCGTTTGTAATAATGTAGACGACACAATTTAGAATAATCGATTCGTGGAGTTTATTTAAAATATTAAACAGATAGTTACAGTAGTTACGGTGCACAAAAATAAAAATAAAATATAAGTATTGATTTCGTACTAACGTTGTTTGCTGTTCTTGGTCACAATGATATATTCGGTCGAAAAAGTACGTCGGATGGAACGATGAAATTCTTTGGGGTGTCACCGAAATGATTGACTAACGTATTATTGACGTTAGGCATTTATTGGACTTTACATCACGACTATAACGCGTGTGTGTATAGGTCCGGTTTGCAGTGGAACAGTGGCTTTGAAGGAGCTGACATGACTGCGGGGTGTCTAACGGGTGACAACGACGTGGCCGTGTCAATTTGCTTTTATAATATCGGTTCGTCTTTTGAAACCACCTGTTTGATTGCTTTTTTTACGATTAATGTATCATTGTCTTCATTAATGACACTCATAAAACAATTAAAAATACCGTCAATCATTTCTGCGTAATCTCCAAACACGAAAAAAACATTATCGTTTTGTTTGTATACAAGTGATTGTAATGCAATATCCTGTTAGGGGCTTGTTTAATAGTGAGGATCTTGGTCAAAATCAAGAATCGGAAGCTACCCGACGTCTGCCCAAATATCGTCCCTATCTCCTTAAATGAGTTTTAATTGCCTGAAGGAGACACAGGCAATCGTGTACCTTAGTTACAGGGGATAGATAATTAAATAAAATTAGACTATTGTTTTATGTCAACGACAAAGTAAAGTTATATTTTAGATGTTCAGTAAATATAAGTTATATGTAATGGTACAATACGTCTGACCTGAATCCTAGTACAGTTGGTTAGTAGGTATATCCAAGTGAGACGGAGTTGGTTAGCTATGACGACAATTGGTGATAGACAGGTCGTTGAATAAAACAAGTTAAGTTATAAATAAGACGAAAGTAATATTATTGAAAACTATGTCTATAATGGCCACTCAAACACAACTGCCCTTTGTTAGTTCGACGACAGTATCTCCGGGCTACAGACGAGTAGAATTATCACTTTAGTATCTCCCTCTGCTAAAGTATATGTATTACGAATTAAGTATATGGAAATAAAACTTGTGTAATATAAGTGGTAAGAACATAGTAATAAATGTTCTTACACACCTTTAAAATAATAAAATGTGATAGTCACTGCAAAATGGGACACAATAAAAAATAAATAAAAGATAAAATTGATATTTAATAAATTTTTATAAAAAGTCATTTAATAAAGACAATTTAAATAAAAATAATCTTTAAAAGATATCCATACTTTAATTCATACATTTAAAATAAGAGCCGAAATCCAAATTTTGGATTTTTTCAAAATAAAAAAGTATAAAGAATTTTCATAAGCTTTAATTGAATCTCTTAAAGAAGTATTTATCATAACTTGAAATTTGTTAGAAGTTCTACTTCATATATATTGAGACTTTATGGTAAAATATAATTAATTAACTTAAGAATTACTAATAAATTGTCAAGTTCAAAATCTTGCCAAGGTACAGGGCAAGTTGAATTTTTTAATGGGGTAAGTTGACATACCATAGCTTAGTTAAGTTATAAAGTGTGATTTAATAAGTGCACTACTTCATCTACTATTTCATAAAAATGTATGAATTAAAGTATGGTTATCCTTTAAACATTATTTTTATTATAATTTTCTTTATTAAATGAGTTTTTATAAAAATTTATCAAATATCAATTTTATCTTTGATTTTTTTTTTATTGTGTCACATTTTGCAGTGACTATCAAGTATCAATATTTTTAAGAGTTTGTTAGTCCAGTGGTATTTCTGAAAAAACCTTTTTTGTTAAATTTTTATATGCTGATTTGTGATCATATACTCTTTAAGACATATAGTACAGAAATGTTATTTTTCTAAGCTATAAGTTGGTCAAAAAAATAATTTGCGAGTATATATTGTATACCCTCTACACCATTCATTATAGCGCATAAAAAAACAAGTTTTAGTGCTATTATTTAATAGCCCTAGTTCAAATATTTTCTTAATAAAATGTGTGGCATTAATCAAAAAATTTGTTGTTATATTTAAAAATAATAAATTATGTTGATTTTATTAAAAGAAAGGTTACAGTACAATAATAATAATAATAATTATAATAATTGATACAATTAGACATAAACAAGAATTAACAATTAGTTTTGCTGAATATAAGAGAACAAGTAAATCATTAAACAAAACTTAAATGTATGGTTTTCAATAATAATGTGTATAATACTCATATTGGACGCAACTCGATATTCATATTTAATATATAAATATTGTGATATAATTTATTGTAATTTAATAAAATATTTATTATATACTTTGTGATAGTAATTAAACATTGAAAAATACAATAATTATATGAGTACTAATAAAAATTAAATTAATTTAAATAATAGCCCATTGAATTACACTCATATCTTTACCACCAATTGTAATCAGTCTGGAATCGTCATGCAAAAAGGCCACATTGGTCACGTGACTACTATGTCCTCCATAAGAGTGGCAAAGTGACTATAATAAAATTTAATCATAAAAAATTAATACATTAAAAGTGTTATTTTATTGTAAACAGAATTTCTATTTAAAATAAAATATACAATAAAATAATCAGATTATTTATTATACATAATTATATTATAATTTTTCTAACTGAATTTTTATGCTATTTTATTTGTAAATAAAATTATGTACAGGAGTTCTTATGCTAATATATACTTATAACTTATGCTAATAAATTTTATTAGCATAAGAACTCCTGTACATAATTTTTCTTAGTGGGGCCCTAAACTTATTGTATGAATTTCATAAAAAAAAATGTATATATTAAAATATTATTTTATTGTAAAAATCAATAATATTTTAAATAAAATATTGTGCAGTAAAATAATCAGATTATGTATCATACACAAATATATTATATATAAAGTATAAAAAAAGAAAATTTAGTAAAATACTTTAGGTTAATAAATTGAAGTATTAAAAATAATTTATTAACAATAAATTAAATAAAAAACACTTAATGTCGACTATTTAATTACCTTAGGTTGTTTGACTGGATAACCATAAAGTTTTACTTTCCCAAAGTCATCACCAGTGGCCATTAACTTTGAATTATTAGATCGTTCACAAGCATTTACATCAGTACCATCAGCACCTTCTGGCCAAATACCAATAGAAGTGAATGTCAACACGCATGAATTTGAAGCCCAAATAACATCTCTGAGTTGTGTGCTTTGAGGGACTTGACGACAAACTTTAGCTTTCCCTATAATGTTTTAATTTTACAATAACCATAGTTAACAACTTTCTAGTTAAGTCATAGGCATAATTTTATAAAGTAATAATATATTATTAGTATATTTAATAGAAAATAAATTAAAAAATGAAAAATATAATTATTTAACAAAAAAAAAACTATTTTTATAGAATACTGATTTAGAAACCCCATATAGTTTTATTACTTTGTTTAAGTTACTAAGTATATTTTATAAACTAATATTGAAGCAATAATTTTAATTTAAAAAGTAAATAAACTTACAGTATAATAACTCATAATCTCCAGAATTACTTCGAAGGTATTCATTGTCTGCTGACCAATCTAGATGTGTAATAAAGCTTGAATGTCCCTAAAAAAATTACATTGTGTGATTATAAAAATGTATCTTGCATTTGTGGTTTTTTTGATTTTAAATTATTTTCACAAAGAAAAAGGACAAATATGAAAAATAATACTTGCTATGCTTTAAAAGTAAACTACTTTACTAAAAAAAATGAATGTATACTAAAAGCAATTTATATAATTTCATAAGTATTGATACTAAGCTAATATTAAAATAGCACATTTTAAAACATATGAATAATGGAAAATTTATTAAGTTAATGACAATAATTGACAATCAATTTATTAAATGTATATAGAACAATAATAATGAATTACATCACCCATACAACTTTTATAAAATTAATTATATAGCTGTACATATTTTAGTGGCATATTAACCTACTAAGTTGGCTCATCTAATAAGTAATTGAATTTATTGATTTATAATAAAAATTATTAAAAAGGTGAAATCAAATAATGAATGTTCTGTGAAGTATTTTTTTTATATTATTTTATAATTAATTAAAGGTTTTCAGTAATTTAAATTATTTAAAAAAATTATTTGACATTTAAGGTGTAATAATCACTTTAATTTTCTTCAATATTACAGTCACTACTTGTATAATTATTTAAAAAGCGTTAAATTGTACATTTTACTATGCTAGTAGTATGATCAACTTTTTCAAATACATTTCAGAATTTTACACCTTCATGCAAATTTTTTTACAGGAAACTTGCACATACCGAACCATAATCTATTAAAGCACCTGTGCTACATCTTCTGCGACGGTTGTAATCCCAAGACTAAGAGTTGCATTAGTTTAAAAAAAATATTATTTTATACATAATATGTACCATTACATTCAAAATGATAAATTATTTGTTAATGATTATTTATAGATAAATAAAATTTAAAAGTTATAATAAATAAATTGAATCTTACAGTGCATTTGCCTAATCGAGTATAATGTCTGGCTCCATCAGTGACTTGATATAAATATATATAGTTATCTCTAGAGCCTAGAGCTAGGTATGAACCATCAGGTGAAAATTTAACAACCTAAATAATATATATAAGAAAAATATATTAATAATAAAAAAAATGTTTCTGTAATTAATTAATATATATACTTGAATAGCTTCATTTCCATCAACATGAGAAGAATAAATTTCTCGAGTTTCTGAATCCATTACAAGCCACTTGCCTGATGTACAACCAACAATAATGATTTGACCATCAGTTGAAAATGCAGCTGATTGAGCTTGTTCCTAAAATATATATTACATTATAAATTAATTCAGAATAATAACATTCTAAAAATATCAAACTACCAATTTAACTTACAGCAATATCTTTACTCCAAACAACTGAGTGAGAAAGAGAGTCCCAAAGTTGTACTATACGGTCAAATCCAGCAGTAAGAAATTGAGAAACAGTAGGATGAGGACATAAAGCCCACAATTCATCTGTATGTCCCAAAACAGCAGGGCTAAAGCCCATTTTTAATGAACCTATTAATATACAGTTACGTGTTGATCCAACAAGCAGTTGTGATCCTCTGCCCTCAGAGAGGGTTCGAATTCCACCCAAATGTTCAGCAATCTGGTGATAAAAAAACCTGATAATAAAATTTTATCTTCTTTTTAAATTTCACATTATTCAAATTTACTTTAACATTATATCCAGTAGGTTGCATGGCTGAATCAAATTGTATTAGACGTCCATCTTTGCCTCCACCAGTAATAATACTCCCTTCTTTAAGAGTGCAAATGGTAAATACTGAACCCTCATGTACATTACGTGTGATTTTACTAAAATTATTAGTGCCTAAAAATAGTAAATAAAAAAAGTCAATATTAGACTTATTAGAAATTACACAAATTATTATTAATTTAAATGAATTTCAAGTTAACTAACCACGTCCCCAAGTAATAACAGATCCATTTGAATCTCCAGATAAAACATCACCATTTTGAGTAAAAGCTAAACAAGTCACATATTTTGGACGGTCCCGTGTAGTATCAAAAATTCCATTGCGTTTGTATAAAGTACCACCAGCATCTAAAGTCCAAAAACTGATATGACCTTTACCACAAGTAACAATTTGATTACGTTCTAGAGGATGGAATTCTGCAGCAACAACAGTATCCATAGAACACTAAAAAATATATATATGTAGATTAATTTTAAACATTTTAGAAGGTAAACTATAATTATTTTTGATAACTTGCATTAAGTGTTTTTAAATGTTAAGAATAGTTTTGAAATTATTTAAAACTTTATCTAGTTGTTATGAGGAGATGGACATTATTTTGTATCTTAGACATATAAAATATTTTTACTTTAGTCATAAGAAAATTAAATGGGACAAATTTAGTTTAATTAAAAACTTTTATTTAATTATGGTTTTTACACTAATTTACTTATAAAATGATAAATATATTTAACAATCAAAACTGAACCACTATTTATAATATATAAAAATATATAGCCATTAGTAGTTTATAGAAATATTTATTATTACAAACCTTTGTTTCAGTAATTTTATGTCCTTTATCATTTTTCTGCCAGTCCCACACAGATATATTATGGTCATTACCCTCATCAATAGCACATAATAAAGTTCCACCATCCTTAAATTAACAAAAAATAAATAACTCATTAAAATGAATTTTAAATAAAAAAATTTTTCTTACAGCTTTTGAAAATGACAAACAACTTATAGATCTTTCAAATTCTCCTAATCCTAGAACAACAACTGTTGCTAAACTTACTGAGTTCCAAACTCTAATATGAGGCTAAAATATAGGTTTCAATTAAATTCAATAACAAAAATTAATTTAATATAATAATTATTACTTTTCCCTCACGGTGATCATGTCCAGCAGTTTGTCCTGTGGCTATTAACAATTTATTTGGATGAACGGCTAAACTAAAATATTGTAGAACAAATAAATAAATGATATCAATTTAAAATTAAAATTTTGATTTAAAAAAAATGTTAACATACTATATTAAGTCAACTAAGGAAGTACCTACCATTTAATATCATCAGTATGGCCAAGGTAATGTCTTTGGCTTTGCTCTTCAACATTGTATAATACAGCCACAGAGGCTACAAAATAAACAATTTCACCAGTTGGTAAAAGATACAAGTTGGAACGACAGTCTTTTCCTCTATAACCGTAACTGTTTCATTATAGAATATAAGGAATTTTTCAAAATTAACTATTAAATATCATAATTATAAATTGATAATAGCTTAAAATTTTGATAATCTAACTGCAACAATTTGACAAAGTAAAACTAATTGGAAAAACTATACCACTCAAATTTCTATAAATTCTAAAATTATAATTTATTAATTACAATACCAACTGATTTTTCTTTTGAATAGTACAATATTAATTTCATTTTGATAAAACATCTGTAATTATTTCCGTTAACACTCATTGTATACTATAGAGTTAATAAATTAAAAATTTTTAAATTAAAAAATGACAAACTTTTTTTATTTTACTTTTTTACTTAAAAAATTTGTTATTATTAATTCATTCATTACCATTTGTTAAACTCGATTAACATTGGACCTATGATTAAAATTACTCATGAAAAAATACATAAAGATAAATTAAGCAAGTAGAATAATTATTATAATTACTCTATATTTTGAAAACAATTAAATAGTTATAATTCCAAATGCATATGTAGTTAAATTTTAAAAAAGGATACACCCAATCTAATTTAAGTTTGGACGATGGTGCCGTAGCCACTTTGGTGATATCATATGTAGCGATTTCATTAGAAGGTGCATAAAGATTAATGGGTCTTCCTCGCAGAAACATTCGGACGTTGCCTTCTTCTTGGTTGAACGTTGCATCGCGTGTACTAGAAAAAAAAAATTAATATTATACATTTTAAAAACGATAATTATCGTTTACACTATTAGTATTTCAATTAATTTAAACAAACTTTTTCTTTAGATGACCGTGCGGCGACATATTTTCAACACTATAATTTTATTTATAATCTATTAGGTTACTATTTATAAATTTTAGAATTCGACGTAAATCAACAACCTCCCGATTATCGACTGAAATTTCGTTTGTTGTACAACACCAATGGTGCGGATAACAACTCAATACTGTGTATATTGAAGACAAGAGACGAGTAGCCCAAGGTTATCGTGGTAAAAATTATGTTAAAATAGCTGATGTGTGTACAGACTGCGTATATAAACCTCCCTGCCACTATGAATTCGTAAATATAATAACTTCTTCCACCAGTCGCACGGCTTGTTTTCTGATATTCTTAATTAAGGTCTACTTAAATAGCTCAACAAGTCAATTACATAATTACCGGTAAATAATCCGTTGAAGCCTTATTACTTAAGTGATAACGGTCGATCAGTTATTTAAACGGAAATTAAATGGGATAGGCTATAATAAGCAAAAAGGATAATTTAACAATACAATCAAATATTAATGCAAACTTATTATTCAGAGGCGGATAAGGATTAAAATAACATTCACGACTACAAAATTGATAAGTCAAGACAACTCAACGCATGTACTTTGTATAAAATGGAGTAAAAATAATTTTAATTTAAGTAAATGAGACATATATTATATGCAATGTATGAACCTAATTAATATTAATATAAAACAGTAGCCGCAATACTACAGTCCAAAAATTTTAACAATAACTATTAAATAGACGTTCTAAAATGTATATAAAAAATACATAATCAATATTTTAACCGGCCTTGATGTCATTTTGAAATAGTTAATACTACATTTTATATGAATTTCTGACAAAAATTATTTAAATGTACCCGATCGATATTTTTTGTCAACTAACCCTGTAACTAACATTTAACGTCCATTTTCATGTAAAAATATTTTAATACAACCAGTAGTAGTAAAAATAATTGGCAATGTTTGAGTAAAAATAAATATTTATTCAAAAGAGACAGTCAATATTGATTTAGAAGGCTATTAATCCACTGTATACTTGTAATACTTGTATAATAGTAATCATCGAGTTAAAATCAGTAATAAATAAATTTATTGCCAATTTTCAAATTCCAAATAAAAGTGACATTTAAGACGTAAACATTATGGTATAAAGTAGTAAATATTTTCGAATTCAACATTGAAACAGGTAGCTACAAAACAGATTGTTTAGTAATAAAGAAATAAATTTGCTACCAATAAAATATTTGTATTAATTTTATTTAAACTAAAATTTGATAATAAATAAATATATTGTATTTTGAACATTTAAAACAGTGACGCGACTCTGGGGGTGCTTCAGAATCTCCACACTTGATTTTATATTTTCATAAGTTACCGATTAACCACAATCATTAACTCAGTTATACAGTCATCAATAAACTGTCATCGTTATCCCTTCATTATTCATTCTTTTTCCTCGTGTTAATCCAAACTACTTGGGATTGACCACCCTTATCCTAAACTTTCACTTGACACGATCTCCCACATCATCTACGCACACATCATATAGCATTTAATAAAATCCCTCCATCTGTTTTTTTGATCTTCCTCTTCTTGCCTCAACATTAATTTTTAAAACTATCCTAACAGATTCCGATTTCTCTCTCCTCATAATATGACCACTCCAATTTTATATTATATCATTATACAGCCATATATATTAATGTGATGAAATGAAAGGTATAGGCGGAGTATCCATGGCTTTGTGTGTCATATATGATCTTAGCACCTTCTAGATTTTTGGCTCTAGTTGCAACGCTGGCTAAAATTTAAAAAATTACACAATAAAGGCGGTTTAAGTACCTAATTTGAACTCGATGGCTTAAAGCCAAAATTAAATAGTTTAATTAGTAAAATATTTATTTGTAAAATAAAGTTTTAATTTTAACTTAAATGGTCAATAAAATTAAAGACATAAAAAAACAATACAAAAGAGAAATATTACCATTAAATTATAGGAACCTTTAAAAACTAATATTTATTGTCCTAAAATCTTTCATTAGTTAAATTTTTAAAAAATACCTATATAATATTTAAAACACTATATAAAATCGAATATTGTTATACTGATAGTCAATCAATGGACAAAGTTCATAAGTTTCAAATGGAAGATAAAATCCATAATCAATGTTTAAAAACTAAAATAAAAAACAGAATATTCAACGGACATTATTATTTTTTAAGGATAGTGTTATTATAATAACATATGATCTACTATTTCTGCTGAACACGCAACTTGCCTTTAGTTTTTAATAAATTAAAAATAATATTTCATGAAGTTTTACTTTTGTGTTAAAATAATATTCTGCTGCCTTAACCGAGAAAACTACAGTTTTATTTTAAGTAATCAATTAAACTTTTTTATAGCAATTGTTTTTAATGTATATAAGAATATGTCTTAATTTTTACACTGATGCACGCATACCTAATCGCATTTAATGAACTGATTTCGTGCAAATTAAATTAAACGAAGCACATTATTGCATGAATAAATAAATCGTTGTTAATGTAATTAAAAATTGACAAAATATTTTAATTTAAGTTCATTACTCTATTCTGGTAATACAATTTTTTCTTTGGACATAATTGATTATTAATTTATTCAATTTTTCGTTTATATTGATTAATTATTCCAACCCTTAATTTTTCAGTAAAATAATTTTAGTTTCATCAATACATTAACAAATAACACCATTTTTAAAAAAGCTGTTAAAAATAAAACAATAATATAAATGTACATTTTATGCTCTACTTATAACGATCTAAATTATGACATTCCTAATTTTTAGAATTAACCCTGTTTTATTTAGTTCTACTAGTCTAAATTATAATGTATAGAGATAAATGTGTTTCACAAAAATTAAATCGACGAACATTTTTATTATTAAGAATTTTAATAAAATAATAAATGTTAATTTTTGATTTAAGTGTCATTAAATTCAACATGTTTATTTTTACTACGAATAGAATGAAAAGAACAGATTTTGATAACTCGTAACAGTTGAGAAACATTCATAGTTGAGGTAAGAGTGTTAAAGTATATTTTACAAATACAGAAGAATAATATTTAAAAACTACTATTTTATAATTAAAACTATGACATCTATCTTTGGTCATGATCATTTTGGGTTAGATCATTAGATAACCTTTAAATGGTTAGCGTTATTTTCATGACAAATCATGTTATATTAAATGGTAAAAGTAGTCATTTTAATTCAATTGAAATGAACAAAATAAAAACTCAACATATAATTTTTTTTTTTTTATTTTGTCAACTTTCTTCTCTAATGAACTATCTGAAATTAATAAAATGTGTTGACTCCTCTAACCCTTAAATAACAATTTAACAGTTAAATTGAAATTCAATTGCAAGGTATTGGATGTTAAAAATCAATGTCTAAGCATCCTAGAGTAAACACGTTCAAAAAGTATTTCAATGACAATATTATTTTAACACATGTGAATACTTAAAAAGGGATTTTTGTTGAGCAGAAAAATATATATTAAAAATAATATATGACTATTTCAAATATTTTCAATATACTTATGTTAAAACTTTAAACAGAATTAAAAGTATAAATTACTTAGCCTGAGCCTGAGCCTTAGACATATTTCAAGTTGGTTTAGAAATTTTAAGTCACACAAATTTTTAAATAAACACAAAAATATTTACTGGAATTCGATTTCTTAGATAATCAAGTTAAATAACGTGCGTTTCGGTATCGAGTAACTACTGCACTGTCGGGCTCCGCTTGTAAACATAAAATTATGTCATAGTCAGTTGAAACTGCTGCTTTATATATATATACGTATAGACTGCGGCGTCTATTTGTCCTTGTATGTGGTTAATTCACCAACACTTCTATAATGTGTATCTTTTGTATCAAAATTACAGCACCAAATCATTAAAATAAGGCATAATTTTTTAAAAAATATGTGTAAGTATATACACTTATTTTTTCCCGATTATATATTAGGATCTTTAATAAAATATTTAATTTGTTCACAGGCACACCCTAAAATACCAAAAAAAGATGCAAGGCTTAAACAAACATATTTAACGATATAACTATAAAATTTAAGTGAATAACTACAGTGTAAAAAAACCTAACGCTATAGTCTTTAGTCCGATTTAACATAAGTATTTATAACTGAAGTATAATTTAATTATTTAAAAAACTTATAAAGGAATATACTAAAATTAAATAAGAGACAACATTTTAAATCTGAAAAACATATAAAATCTAGTGAAATAAATACTGATAAAATTTACATTTATAATATATTAAAAATATACTATCATAAAAAACTTAAAATTCTATTTTTTAAAAATTATATTGTAATAATAATAAATATATAATATAATGATAATAAATTATTATCATTATATTTATATAAATAACATTTAGCCACAATATACATATAATACATAATTTTTATCTAATATCACATATTAAAAGCCTCGATTCAGCCTTCAATAAATTAGTGAAAAGCATAGTTGTTAATTTCAATATATGTGGTGGTCTAATTGATAAAAAATACTGTTGATAAGATACTTAATAAAAATTATACACATTTTAGAAATTAAGTAAATCAAACCTTATAATCAGAATAATAATTTCAAGTAATAAATAGATAAGTAAGTTTGGCTACTTTAAATTGTAAAAATATTACACAAATAAAACAAAATTAAAAAAAATTTAGCATTTACAAAATTTATTTACTTTCTTGAATTATCAATAATAATTAATGATACATAAAACATATAGTTATAATTCATAAACTTATAAAATTGCCTTGTACATGTATTATACAGGTAGGGTTTCAGATTCTTAAGTTTGGATAACGACCCAATTTTTAAAAATAGGATTCATGGAATTAATTAATAAGGAAATTAATTGTAATTTAACTAAAAAAAAAATAAATTTAATTTTTAACTTATAAAAAATTACTATTAAAATAAAATATTTCATAATAGTATCAATTTACTTTTCTTTATATAAGCTACATACAGAATCATAGTTATTATTAAGGCATGGATTTATTAGCATTTATAAATTTTGTTTGGGCCACTTTAAAGGTTCCCAAGTTTAGGAAACATTGTCCTAAAATTATATAACAGCAGAAATATTTTTTTGTTTTGGGAAGATATACCATTACTCCCAAAACTATAATCTCGGTAACAACACATTTTTAAATTTTCAAGTAGATTTGTGAAGCATTTCGTACTAACTGACAGTCTATTCAGATTAACTTAATAAAATATATGAATGCATATAATTCTGGGCCTTAGTTATTACGTATTATTTTAACTTACTTTTAGTATAATAATTAATCTCTACAATGTTATGTTAAATGTTTACTATACTTAAAAAACTTTAGCTATGCACACAAACCATGAATAAAAATCACTTGAACTTTCTCAAACCCAGTTAATTAATAATATGGTATAAAAGCTATAAAAATGAGCATCACTATACAAATAAACTTCAGAAAATGATAAATGGGAATCAACTTACCCATGTTTTTGATGATGAATGTGCTGACTTTGTTGGGGCTGTGACCGCAAATTCAAATTAAGCAAAGACTTTGTAGCAAGTCTACCATGAGTTAAATTTTGCACAAAACAAGCAAAAACATACAAAAAATTAAAAATTAATAACTTTTAGCTATGGTAAAAGATATTGCTTAAATTTAAAACACAATATCTTTCAACAATAGCTTGTTTTTTTAATAGTAACAATAGTAAGAAAAATTGTTTTATCATAAATATAACTGTATAAAAATTTACAAAGTTTTTATAATTTCAGTTATTTAACACATTTGGAGATCGAGATATAAATAAAGTCAATAATTCAGTTACTAAAATCCCTTCCTCCAATAAATTTACTATATCATTATTACTTAATTTTTTACTGCAAATTGGATAATTTTGTTAATTAACACAAACACAAATTAAAAAATTAAACTCTACATTGAAATTATAAAATTATACTATGAGTAATCAAAATATAACTTAAATATAAAGCCTTCTTCATTTTTTAATTTAGATACATTTTCAGAGATTTGTTTTTAATAAAAAATTGTTACAATTAAATATGTTAAAATTAATGAAGTTGTTAGTTTTATATCTAGATAATAGAACTTTACTGGTAAATAAATCTGTTGTTAAAATTTATACTCCGATAAATCTTTAATTTTTCTATAACTAGCCATTCTGTACTTAAATATTATTATATAGAAAAATAACCTTAAAAAAAATAAAATAAAAAAGCAATTTGGATATGACTATATCAATTAATCAGTCTATATAACTATGAGAAATTTATGTTAATTTAATTATGTCTGTTTGAAATAATATTTTAAATAAATTGGCTAATATAGAATAATTCGAAAAATTTTGTAAGTGTGAGAATTTAAGAATATTGAAAACACATAAAGAGAATCAAATATTTGATAGTTAACATGTCTTATTAATTAATTATTATTTATTTATGTGTATATTGAAATGAAATAAAGGTTCTACTAAGAAAAATATATGTGATTTTTTTTTCTTGTGGTAATATTAAATAGCATGATTGCACATAAACCAGTATCAAGTATTATGAAGTTCATAATATGGACTACTCTAGGACTTAATCACAGCAAAACTTAAGCAACAGGTTCTATTTATAGAATATTGTATAAAAATAAAAATGAAGCACAAAAAGCAATGCTTAACAACACCATGATGTAGAATAAATTCTAAGTCAATTCACCTAGAAGTCAATGTTGATGATTGGGGAGCCACACTCATATTTTGTGCTTGGTTAAAGTCTCCAGTAGAACTCCATCTTTTGGAGTTATGTAAATTTGATATTGTAGTCTTTTGTGATTTATGAGCAGTGCCAGGTCTAGTAGGTGAAGGGGAAGGTGATGCTGGAGGTACAGGTGATACACTACTGGAACTAGGTGAATCAGAATGTAGTGAACCTGTTGACTGATAATGTACAGCTTTTCTGTAAAGAAATATTAAATGTTATTTTACTTAATGGATAAAAATTTAAGTAATACATTTTAATTTTACCTTTGAGGTAGTGAAGAATGTGAGCTATTGTGACTTGGAACTCTTCGCACAGGGTCTCTGAGTGCAGATCCTGGATGTTCATTAGTAGATCTATAGCGAAGATTAATTTCTCTTTGTGATAAAGTTGGTGATATTAAATGATGACTACTTCCACCATAGTAGCTTGCTACGATGAACAAAACATGACATTTTAATAATGAAGTTATAATTATAAGATGTTATAATAGATAAATCTTAATGTATTGTTCCTTATAGTTTTTTATGATATGTATAGAATTATTATTAATTACTATTTACTATTACATTGATATATAGTTGCACATACATGATTTTTTACAAATAAATATTACACTGAAAGCACTTAAAATACATGTTAGATATTTTTATGGTGAAGTACCCCACAACTACCCCAATTGTATATATATATCATTTTTCTCTTGGAATATTTAATAGCAATTATTTTAGATTGAATAATGCTTGTTTTTATATGTATTTCTATTATTTTAGATGCCAGTCTGTAATAAAAATATTTGCATTTATAAAAAAAAAATCATTTACAATTGCCCCACTTCACCTTACATGATATTTGAAATAGTAGCCATAAAATAGTAAAACGAAATTTACTAATGGAAGTTTGGTTGTATTCAATAGCCCCTGATGCTGTTTCTTTTAAACAAACACATTGCATGTTAACCAAAGTTTATTAAATAAAAGACAATAATTTTATAACATAGTACATTAATTAATCAATGTTAATTATATATTTTTTTCAGCCATATATTAAACCATTATAATTTTAAATTATAATTGCTATTAAAATTTATTAAATTCTTATTTAAATAATTTTTAATATACTGTTAGACATTAAATTTAAAGAAAATAAAGATGATTACTGAATATTTTAAATAATAAATATTTTTATAAAATTTTATATATAATAGTAATATTATAAGTTTCTATTTTTGATATTTCACTATATAATAACTGATGATGTTTTTTAAGGAACTGATCTTTAAAAAGAAATCAACTATATACAAATTGTATAACTTTAATTTACAAATAAATCATATACATTTATTCCTAAATCTTTTAAAAAATGTATTTCTACGTGTTGCTTTGTTAATAATTCAAAAAAATTCTTTGACTAATTAACAGAAAAAAAACAATATCACTATTTTCAATTATTAACTGTATGTTATGACAAACCTGGCCTAGGCGAGTTTCCATTTTTTAAAGCAGATGTATTTAGACTCAGTGCACGACAGCCTTCTACTTGATTTAGCCGTCTAAGAACGTCAGCTAATGTAGACCGTAGACAAACAATTTCATCTCCCTGTTCTAAAACTTTCTTTTCTAAATCACCTACCCTGTCCCTAAGAGATTCATTTTCCGTCTCAAGCATGTCATCTACAGAAAAAAAGATTCTATTATTAACGTATAAATATTTTTTTTGATTCTTAGTTTTCTATGGCAATTAAGAATACATTTTTAATAGATTTCAATCGTTCAATATCTACGCTAAGTGCAATACTTCATAAAAAATATTCTACGTAATATTATCTTTAATACTACTTTATTTTAACCCAATTTATACTTATAATGAACAATTGTCTTTAATGGTAATGTCAAATTTAAAATACACTGGTTCGAATTCATAATTAGGTTTTGGGACTTTATGCATTTATAAAATTTGTTTGGATCACTCCCGAGATACCAATTCCATGTAAATTTATCATAAGTATATCATAGTATCACATGGACTGTTTTTGTTCGAGGGGGGGAGATCCCTCCGCCGTCCAAACTAATAACCTAATCAATATACTTTAATAAAGATTAAGAAAAAACAAAAACGAATATCTACTTATTATTGATGTACTTGGAATGACTAAATAAACTTTATAAACCCTATTCATAATATACTTATTTGGTAGTAATAATAATTAATTAAAAAAAAAATGAATATTTCAAATAAATAAATAAAAAGAAAAATAATTTATTCACCTTAATAACAATTATTTAAAAATGAATGATTTATGATAAATCTTAAAGTCAATATTATTTATTAAAGTAGGAAAATAATAATAAAATAAATTGATTAATAATTTACATAGCATAATGTTTACTAAATATCATAATATTAATTAAGTTACCTCCCACGATAAACATTTTATTATAAAAAAATAACATTTATAAACATAAGATCAAATTAAAATAACACTACTTTAATTGCAGTATTACATATAAGGTATCTATTACAATACATATTGTCTTAAATAAAAACTTATTTGTCAGTAGCTGAGTAAGTTCTCATAAACATTAGCGTGGGCTTGTCTGTTTTTAATTAAAATATCTAATGCCAATAGCTATAAGAAATCGCTTAATGTTAAAATAAAAAGTATGTGGATGAACATAAGTAAAGATTTTTTATGACATGTACATAAAGTGGTTTATCAACTTTTACAACAAATTAAGACTATAAAAATCGATCAAATAAATACCTGATTATTGACTGTCAAATATAAAATAACAAATGTCGTACAATACTAATTGACACATTCACACATACATTTATTATGAATGACAGTTATATTGTACTTATAATATATAGCTACTTTATACACATAGGGAATAAATAATCACTCACTCCAGGCTAACTGCACTTTTGATGTTATGGTCTGCATGATGTTGCTTAATGTTGAGTTTCTGAAGTATTAATTATTTTGTACGCTACCATCAACAACTATCATGTCCGATGAAGATCAATCATTATCGTTTCATTTAGCAATAATGGATATAACTATGACTTATACATAAATTTACCCGGAACATAAATAAGACCGCCTGAAAATAAACCGAACTTGACACAATTTGGCACGCGACAACGCTCGTATTGCGTGTGTTATCGGTAAAACTAATTAAAACAAACTAAGGGGAAAAAATTAAAACGCAAGTAATAAAGACAGTTGTTTGATCTAATTAAATAAGCTTGTTAAAAACAAAATTAAAATAAGATATGATAAAAGTGTTTTAATTTTTAAACCGGACGAGTTAGATAGTACCGAATGTCAAAAAAAAAATATTAAGATTTCAAATGGTCAAAAACAACTTATTTCAAATAGAGTTATAAAATGTACGTAATAAAAAGGAATAATTGCCACCGTATGAAACTTTAAAGTATATAGTCGGAATCATTTTAACATTAACACAAAAATAAAATAAATTCAATTAATATTTTTATTTTATTTTAAGATCTGAGATAATTTGAATGATAAAATCTTGTTGTGTCATACAATAGAGCGAAATGTTATTTGAAAGATTTTAATGATTATTTACTACTAATAGTTTTGCCATACAAAAATCGTTAATCTATTTTCAAATACTAGTTACAATGATGGTTAGAGTAAAGGCGTAAGAACATAATTAATTATTGTCACATGAATAGGTTGTATTGTATTTAACAAATGTTATACTTAATATCAGATTTCAAAAAACAGCATGTCATATAGTTGTTTACACCTCAACTACAAATAAATGTATGATAGGAACCCTTTACATAATTGTGTAATCCAAAAATATATTCATATAAGCTATAAAAGTAAATGATAATTACTTTAAAATTAATTTATAATTATATAAAAATGTGTACATTATTAACATATTTTTATTGACAGAAAAATACAATTTCAAAAAAGAAAATAATTTATTTAAAACTGTCAATAATAATCAATCAATATTATCTTGTCAATTTCAAGAAATAGAAAAATTTCTTTTTTTAGAGAAAGATATAGAAATCATAATAAAATAAACATCACTGCGTAACTTGTAGGAAAATAAGAGTTCTCACATAAAGTCCCGTGACAGGATATATATATAAATATTTTAAACGTAGAGGTGAATGCTAAATTTGGATAATACTAGGAACAGAGGTTGACGACCTAAAAGACATAAATATAGTATTTCCAGCTAGTTTTGTCAAGGTAAAAAGTTGAAGCCATAGCCTACTCATTATGACCATCAGTGTAAACAATTTGAATCTAATACCTTTCATGTAAAAAATTAAATAAAAAATAGATTATCTTATTACTTTAGACAATTAGGTGGGTAGCAATCCTACATTGATACAACGTTCGCGTGTTAACACAAAAAAATTATATTTTTCTACAATAGAAGCATGAAAAGTATAAAAATAAAAAAGCGAATCCTCTTTTTGTTAGGAACACTATGCACTCAAATATATAGTTATATATATATGTATGTAACGTTACAATATAATATGTATATATTACAAATCCAACGGAAAATACATACTTAACAGTTTCATAGTAAAACTCAATATAAATACATAACTAGACCGAGAATATCAATTGAACAAACCTGGAAATATCAACGCACACAAACAACATATTCACTTCAATATCCTATTTCAAATACAACGGCCACCTACACCGCGTTGCAGTCATTGCAGTTGGAAGTGTCTCCATAAGAAATTCCCACTATAACGCTACTGCTATACTTAAAGGGTGACCACGAGGGTCAATCGATAAGCGATGCCAGTGCTACCATACACTAAAACGCAGATCACCTTTTCCCTTGTGTCATCGTTCCTCTTCAACTAATTTGTGTCTTAAATTTATTTTAGTAAATTTATCATAGCAAGAACGATTATGTGGAGTATTTACTTCAGTGGCGTAACCAGAAATTTCGCTAAAGATCAAAACTTTTCATTGAACTTATCATCTATTTTCATTTTAACAATAAAGTCATATACTGCTTATAGTAATAACAGTCAAAGGGGATGGGACTATTACCCCTTTAGCTCTCTATTTGGCTATGTCACTGATTTGATTTAAACAAAAATGCTTTAAATTTATTTATAATACATTTTATCAAAATGGCACTAATGTAAAATAATTACGTTCAAATTATTTTCATTAATTGATTACAATGCCGACGTAAGGGCAGGTCAAGTGGGGTTCGTACTTTATGAGGCTCTGCACATAGCAGTGCTATTTCATTACCCCTCCAAACAAAAAAAAAATGGTATCTTTACCATCTAATCATTTTTACTATAAAGATCTTCACAAATTCAACCCCTTTTCTTACGACACAGGGTCACCTCAAAATCTAGTGCTGGCACTTTTTAGTTGTGTATAGTTTTTAATAATAGTATCAAAATAATATTAAAATGATTAAATATGAATAAATAAATTTTTAACGTGAACTTGATAATGGAATGTGAAACTAAAACTTTTTTTCAAAGGTTCAACAAAAACAAATTTCGAAGGACAAGAGAAATGATCACATAATTATTCATTTCGCACGAAGTTCGTGAGACCGAAACGATGCGGTGATGGGATGGGTTATATATCAGTTACCGGATGTCCTTTAAGTTATAAAATGCATTTAGTTATTAAATACATAACATAGTGAGTATAAAATTAAAGTATATTACATAAATTAATTTTTTATTGGTTGTTATAAATTTTTCATTTTTTTTTCTTTAACGAACATATTTAATTTTGGTTTTATATGCATCAAATAAGAATATAAGACGACGAAACTCAGCTTATAAAACAAAATTTTAAAGTTAAGTTAGACATTAAAAAAAACTTAATCTGCTTAAGAAAATTTATAATTAGGTTTACAATCTATACAAAATGTGATAAAAAGCGTAAAATATAATCAAAAAAGAGTTAATTGTACCTATAATGTTTTAATTTTGTAAAAACATTTATAAAATGTAAAACTAATGTACGAAAAATAGGTGACTTTTTACTTTATAGTAGTTGAAATTTAAGGCATTTACGTTTTATTAATTGTACGAATGATAACTTATTCGATAAATATTATATCGAAATATATAGTACAATGTAAAATAAAAGTACTGAGTACAAACATTACTATGACGAAATGTAATAGTTCACAAATTACATACCTAAGGTTGATCATTAGAGCACACAATAACTAGGAATTTTACATCAACTACCTAAGTAAATATCACTGGTCGAATCAAAAAAATTACAACGACACCACAGTGATCAATTGAAGTGCCACCAATGACAAACGATCGTTAGTCCACATCTTATCAAATAAAAAAACTAACATCAAAAAGAAATATAAAAATCAGTGAAACTCCAAATGAAAAAGAAAATTAAAAATAATATTTATAAAGCTCAATTTGTATAACTTGCAGTAGTCGTTTATTTTTTATAGACCAACGATTTTCCATAATAACTTATGTAAGGTGCATGCAATATTTTCAGTGAAGCAACACTTGCAATACAACTTGACGCATCATTCCGAATAACTATTACAGTGCGCTTATACACCGTAAACATACGTTACAAACGCGGAAACGAGCTTTTACAACTACCTGAAATTCCAGGAAGTAAATCCGGTAATAGTACAAATGTCTATTGATCAATTAGTTTTTTGGAGTGGCAAGGACAAAAATAACATCCGAAAGCGACATGTACATCCTGTGGTCCATATAGACAGAACTCAAATGTCAAATTCTTTGATCATGGTATTTTTTTTTTTGTAAAATAAATTTTTTATTGAAAATATTTGAATGTTTCTTTGAATATTATGATTTAATAACTATCATCAGTACAACTGGCGTTAGCTGAAGCATGTTCTCCTAGTAAATACAAAAATGGTACGTAGAAAAATTTGACGGTCGCGGTTCCTTAAAATTCCCACAGCCTTCAAAAATGAATCGACCAACATCATTGTGCAGTAACCCAATGTCGTTAACACTTTAGTGTGTATTATATTGTTAAGGTGAATATTGACTAGACGACGTGGTCGTCACAGTTGCGTTGACAATATTCACTCATCGTGATCTTCGAGCCATCAAATTGTATAGTCTCAAAAGTTGTTACAATAAAATATTGTTGTTATTATTACATATTGTGCTTGTTATTATTACTAACTCAACCGCAGGCGACAGAAAAAATAATAAACGCCTAACTACAATAACTTAACATTGGTATATCAACCTTTTAAAATACTAAAAAGAATACATATCGATCAAAATATATATCCCGTGTGATATATTTTCAACCACTAATGTTTAAAAATTAATGAATAAATTTCATAATTATTTAAAAAAATACTGTATCGAACTAATTAAGTATTAAAAGTTGTTGACAATTCATATGCAATAGTTTTAAGTTTAGTTGTTATAGAGGTGGGCAAAAATTGTCCAAGTACTCAGACCTATAAGTTCATTGTGCGAAATAGTTTTAAGTTACTATGAAATATAAAAAAAAAGAATCTTTATGAACTTCAAAGACTTATGATTAAGGGTTATGATTTTCTACGGGGAAACTAATCCTAAGAAACTGCTTAATTTTATTAAGGAAATTCTTAAGAGTCTATTTAACAAATTTTAAAAATTGCGGTTAAACTATATTTATAACGTATACAAATAAACATGACAATACCAATTACTCTGTAAAATAACTACCTCAATAAGAAAAGTAAAAAATTGTGTAGTCATAATTTTTTTTTGTTGTTCAAATCAACTTACCGGCTTCTGACTTTGAAGACGATGATAGTGATTCAGCGCCACCATTGATACGCATTATGGCGTTTAATAAATTTAAATGATCCTTTCTATCGTATCATGATAATGTAAACCTGAAAATATCATACCCACATTAGTTATAAATGTTGAATTTTACAAAAAAAAAAAAAACACTTTGCAAAAGTAAAATATAATATAATTATGTTCATATTATTTTAATAACAAGTACTTTTACATTTTTCATTTAAAACAATGTTTAAGTAACTTTCATGTTTAAATCTTTTTAACTTTAAAATCGTACGTACAATATCTGAAAGATTTTCACATAAAAGTTTATTAAGCGTTTATTTAGATTATGATAAGTATTTATAATAGTTGGATTAACAATCACTTATTGATTCAAAAGGTTACAAGAATAATTCTACATGACTAATGTACAGTAAATATGGTAAATGGTAAATATCACTAACCGAAAAGTACTTTATATCCTCATAAGTGACAGATATATTGATTTGAGAGTAAAATTTCTTTATTAATTAACAATATACAATTACAGATAGAAATATTAAATCTTTTAAAGATATATCCGTATAAATTTTATTTTAAAATTTGAAACTTTTCAAAATGAAACTAGCTAACTTGAAGTACAAAAAATTTTACAATGCCTTAAATAATGTCTTATAATAAAAAAAAATTAGATAACTAATTAGCTAAAAATTACTAAATATGTCTAAAAAAATAAAACTATTACTTCACCCTTCCAACTCCCTTAATAAAACTCGAATTCCAACTAACTGATGTATCTAATATGAAGTGTGAAAATGCTATTTACATACAACTGAATAACTATAACAAGCAAACAAACGATAAATGTACACCCAAAACATATTAACAGTATAGATTGTTTTGCTACGTTTAATACACTATGTATATTACAATTGAATGGTCTATGCAATTAGTCAATAATTACAATACTGATCTTTTTTATCATTTTAATATTAACTTTTTTATTATGTGTTTAAATAATTTATTTTAGAAAATTAAAACTTTATAATTTATATTGTTGTTTTACTTATTAAATCGTTTACAGATGACTAGTAAATATTTTTTGTATTAGACATTTTGTACATCTGTATAAATAAATAAAAAGGAGTAAAATCAGAATCACATATTATGTGATCCATTTATCGGATTTCCTCTTTTCCCTGTATAAATTTACTAAACATGAATAAGAGGAACACACAAAAGCCGCATAATATTTTATTAAGTTAATGAGAAAAATACACAAACACGTTAAACTCTTTTAAACTCACTTTCACTATCATAATTCTGAATACTAGATACAGTTATCACTGTGTGACTTCCAAAAAGAATAAAGAACTACAATGCGTTACAATTACAGACGGACTTTAATATTATGTAAACACTGATTTGCAATAATTCTTCTACATTGTAATTCATTTAAAATGTCTCGTTATTTATACCAAACACTAATTCATGAAATTATGGCTACAGCATTATTTTTTTTTATTTTAGCTGTTAGTATTGTTTTCTTCGTCAAAAATTTAGTACCGGATTTAGAATAATGAATTGTGCAATACTAAGAATGTATGTCATAAGAATAATGAAAGCAATTTCATGCCTAGTGAAGTTTAGCAAAAATATGCATGGAAAATATTTACAATAGTGAAATGACAACAAAATAAAGAGATTTTACATAATAAAATCAATTAACAACTAGAAAATTTTGATGATTAATAGTGAACTATTAAAGAGATTTTATAACTTAAAAAAAAATTAATTGGTTTATTACATAAATTATATCAGTGTTTACACTACGCAAATGATAATAAGTCAGGTGGAAACAGATAAAAAACTATAGTTTTTATAGCAGCACTAATTACTCGTCATTTCTGTCTGAATTTGGTTCAGTTTAACTATGAACATAGTTTTAGCATGACTTTTAATAATTTTATTATTCATTAAATATGTTTTTTTAATTAAAAACAAGTGGCATAATAATTTTTATTTATTAGAAAAAGACAATAAAATCTGGCTATTTTAAATAAATATAAAAATTCACTTTCATATTAAAAACAAGTACTACAGCTGAAACAGTGTAATCTTCTCTTCTTTTTCATTGACAATTATGTGAAGCTTGTTCAATGAACAATTTTCTTTAACCAATACTATTTTTAAATGTTTGATTTAGTTATCTCATCACGAGCTTCGATTATTTTACGGTTCAGCGTAACAATTTTTTGTTCCATATCTATAATTTTTTCTAAAAACACATCCAAATTTTTTAAATTACAGTCTACAAGACTGCCGATAACATTTATCACTTCTTCTGGTTTACTACTAGATAGTAAACCACAGTTTGGATAATGTTCTAAAATAAGTTCTATTAAATCAAAATAAATATCTTTTCGGTTTTTTGCTTTTTCCCACATCTTGTTGTTTTTTAACCATTGATGTGTACATTCTTTCTCTAAATCCAGAACAGTTTCAATTTTTTGGTGAGAAACGCCGTTTTTAACGTGATCTCCCGACATATTTCCAAGAATGTATCAACTATCTAATTATCGAAAGTATTCAACAATGGTGTAAATTCGTTACATAGTAACACAACTAAAACTACTAATTATTATAAATGAGGTAATTATATGTAGCCACATAATTTATGAATTCAAAATATGCGTACCTATAAAATATAGATTGTTTAAGTTGCACTATGTAATAATTGGACAACATAACATAAACAGTTCATGCCCTATTATAATTTATCAAATATGCAGAACAAGGATAGCGTAAATAATATTGTTTAGATATTTTCACTTTTTATAATTCGATAAGTTGTACCTAGTAAAAACTAAAAAATCCTAAACACAATTAAGAAAACTATACAAAATAATTTTTTTTTAATTACTTACTATCTCTAAACACTTCTTTTAACGTTAACCCCGTAATAATTTTTGAAATAATATTTATTTAAACATAATAATATTCACTAAAATAAAATATTGATGATATTTGATAAATTAGTCAGTTTATTCACTAAAATGGCTTGTATTGATAAAAATTATGATGTAAACAAGACTCTTAGACGCCAACAGTAATTCGTTATATTCACAGTTACAATAAAAATAATAAGATACTTAATAAGCAATTTATTGAAGAATTAAGTTGCCTACATTATCTTATCTTATTTAGGTCATGAGACGCATCACCGACAGGTGAACTAAGATTACTACAGAATTAACTAACTTGACAACGTATGTAAATCTTGTTTTTCACATAATAAACAAATCTGACCAATTATACTGCTTTGATTACTTTTATGACGTTGCACATTTATTTTCTCAATGTTGGCATTTGTAATTCAGTTTCTTTGGATCTTAAAGATGAAGCAATGTGAGGGCGCGCGATTATGGCTGAGGAATGGTCAACAAACAAGCACACACCTATGTGGACCGACTTTTGTACGTGAAAAATTTTTGTACTTTGTACATAACATTATCTATACAAACGTCGCCATCGACAGTAATCATATTCGAATGGCTTACAATAACATTACATTGGTAAACCAAAAGACACGCCTTCGATACACGTCCTAAAGAAACAGTAAGACGTGCGTCCGGTTCAGGTCTATCGACGAGCCATAAGTCTAATCGTGGTGGAGTAATCGCTCTTTAGATAATTGACTTCGTGTACACTATTACTCATACGGTCGACCGACAGGTGCGAACCGAGGTTTGCGGTTCATATGATCTGTACTTATAACAAGACAACAAGATGGTTTAACAAACGTCTCGTATTGTATATCATATCGTTTAACCATGCACGGGTTGATAAAAATATAGAAGCAACACATGGCAACCGACAAACACGAATCTATTGTAATTGCAATGTTTATAAGGTTACATCCGCGGGTCATGCAACTGAAAAGGCTAGCCTCAGCTGCTACTGGCAAAAAATAAGACTATACTGTTTACAGTTTGCAAATTTTACACCACTATGAATACACACCACTATTTAGTCGAAAAAAATTACTAGAAATAATAAAAGGATATCCGTAACCAAAAAGTATGTTGTTTTTACCGGTTTTTAGAAAATACTTAAAAAAAAGACATACCTGTTTATGAATTATATATACGAGGCTTGTGGCTTTAAATTAAATACAGTAATTTAGATACACTCCCGACGAATCTTATGTCGTATCAAGTATTTTTATTTAGATTCCAATAAAAACCATTGAAATGAACCAAAACATTTTTTTTTTATATCAAATAACATCACACAAGTAAAAAAGTGTTTCTCTTTTTGAAGTCGTACCCACTTATGATAAAACTCTTAATAAGTCGATAAATTAGTAAAAATATATATATATAAACACCTCATTCGATAACAATATAAATAAAACATTTAAGTTAAATTGGTTCAAGATGGTTTAAATTAACCCATGATCATGGCCACTGTTACTAATATGCTGATCTACAGTTAATTATATTTAATTGTATCAACTAAGGCGAGAATAGACATGACACTGAATTTTTAAAACTATGCTACCTTGGACATATAAATTTTACTTAAGTGAGCATACAGTTTTTACCAAAAAAATTAATAATACGCGTTAACGACAGTATATGAATACAATAGCAAGGTTACTGGCACACATTTTCATGGATATTAATCAATAAGTATCGTGGTGTTTTAACAGAGCTGCATATATCAAACCGTTTAAAATATAAATGCACACTCATTATAAAAACAGCAACAGGTTTTATCCATATGTATGTAGTATTTGTGTAAATATTGTTCGCATTTCAACAATGCAAAGAGAATTTCGCATAACCTATGGATTAAATGTCGAAACGAATACTTGTTTTAATATTAATTTTTAATATTAAAATCAATTTTCGTGACACAAAAATTACAAAGTATATACTATGCAAAAAGAGTATATTCGAGTGATATGAACTTCCGTGTGATACAAACAACCGAGTTCTTTATCAATGTCCAGGCTTAAAAATAATTGCCAATTATTAACCAAACTGATGAGATATGGAAATGTTCATTAATATAAAATGTACTGTCATTATTAAGACACGAACCAACTTTGATAGTGAATTATACGGTAGTAATAAAAATCAGCAAAAACCTGTTCTCATTAACAAGCCACAACTAGCCGTCTCCCTCGAAAATTGTTTACACGAAAACACTTTCAAAATATGAATTATCTACATTACTTTTTACTTGCTATTATAACTGTAACTTTATATTTATTATACTAGAGGTTTAAATTCTGGTTCCTAATTATTCCAGCCAAAATTTAGAAAGATTTTAATTTGAAAGACAAAAAGTGTATAATTATTTACACTGGAACGTTAGGATTTCTATCATATTGTTTTTCAAGCGTTCAAATAACCATTAAAATACATTTACTTAATATCAGGACAAAAAAAAATTATATACACAAAGATTTCGATGCACATGACCTACTGGTCGAGTCGAAGATAAATCATTTTCCCGTGACGTATTTGGGTACGGTCAGCAGCAAAAAAACATAAAAACACACAAAGTGTGTATTATAATAATTACTATTGGCTGAGCACACGACAACGAAAGTTACCGAGGCACGCCGTTGAGCTGTATCTAAAAAATTCGTGACTCGTTCACCAATGGTAAGTTTATAGAGATTGTGCAGTCCGATATTGTCCTATTGGATTTCCAGAGATTTCGAAAATGACACTTGGACAAAGCACTTAACGGAAAGAGCGCAATTATAAATGGACTAAACGTAAGATAATACTAAGGAAATAAATTACATCCGTCACCGTTATTAATCGCGTATATAACAATAATAATAATTACAATAATATTATGATTGTCGTGTATTCAACACACGTAGACCAGTGTGTTGTAGTTTATTAAATTTATACTATTTGGACACAAATAATAAGAGCCAAACGAGGTGCTACATAAAAATTTGCATTATATATATGTTTATATTAGAGAAAACTGTATACTAAAAATCACCCATAAAAAATTAAGATCGTCAAATATTAAAAGGTAATGTATATGGAAATTAATTATCATTTAAAAATAGCAGTCAAATTTAAAACTATAACTATACGAGTGATCAGTAAGTAAGGAAACTGGTAAATTGTTATAAAAAATTAAAACAATAAAAACCCGTTTCCTTACTAACTGAATATCTTATGTATTACGCAACTTTCATTTATTTTTGAGTCGTACGCGTATTATGAATTTTCAAATCCTTACTGCTCTTATACGACTACAAAAGAAAATCAGTTTTTTCAGTGTAACCAACATACGGCCGAACAAAAACGTCCAGAGGACAATAGGTATTGATGCCAGTTTAATGAACACGATGGTTTACCACTTGGTTGAGCTTCGGTAAGGCGCATTAGTCCACAGAGTAACGAATTCTTCACTTTTCACAAAGCAACACAATTCGTCATATGAAAAACAATTTTGTCTACAATAAAATCTAAGACTAGCATTTTTAAACAGCAAATATGAACAGGTTTTCCTGTGTAGAAACGTGTGCGTGCAGGATCTTATCGTTCCGGTTACGCTGCAGTACACTTTCATTGGGCGGCGGCAACGTGACAGAAATATTTTATGACAAACTATTAGCTGTACAGTTTGCTCCGTAGAACTTCTAATGCATAGTTATATTAAATAACATGTACCTATGTTCGCATAAAACAATAACCGTGTACTAGGTTCAAGGAAAGACCCGCTCTTGTTCAATGTCTCCACCGAGTGATCATTAGCACAAGTAAGCAAACCTACATAGTGGATAGTGAACGCAATAGATGGAATTGATCACCATATTTGTATCAATAAAAGAAATCCGACCGCTAACGGTGGTTATGCCATTCGCCAGACAAATTAATATCATCACTATTTTCAATACGTATAAGTGCACACAGGGTAAAACAGGTCATGGTCGCTGCCGCAGTCACATCAACTAGTATTTTTGCAACGTTGATTATTATAAATGCACTACATAAATTGAAATTGATCTCAAAACGGATGACACGATCAAAAATCACTATTCGTTTTATTCCATCTAACACACGGTGTCCAATTTCGAAAATGTTGCCAACACTTGAACATAAAAAATGAAGGCCGGGTGAATCATTAAAAAACAGTAGAAACTCCATACATTTTATAACAACAACGACGTATCCTTGCGGTAGACTCTCGCTAAATAATGATGATGTTACTTTTTAGCTATTGTTTTGACATTAAATTGCCGTACTGCCTAAAGATCGGCGGTGTCGTCACAGAGCGCCATGAAAAACGCTGCATTTACTAAAGAAATGACAATGTTACTGTCGAGTCAACAAAATTATCGGACCAATGACCGCTAGATTGCAAACTGTTTTCATTAAAAACAATAATTTAGTAAAATCTGCGTTGCTTAATCATTAGATTTACGATTGACTGCGCTAATCGAAAAAAGTCGTGACGGGGTATTTCAATTAAACCTAAGGTCGATTTGGAGACGTGCAATGTATAGTTAAAAATTATTAAGGGAATTTACATTATAGTAATTTAAGAAAATCATTATTTCTAATAATATAAGTATGATAAAAATAAACTACCAGGTAGTAGCCTTTCTAATAATTTGAAAAAAAATGTATTTCTAAGTGTTCCCGTTTAAAAATCATGAATTTTGTTTTTTTAATTCTGAGAGAGAATACACTTACAATTCTCTGATCACATTTGAATTATCGTACAACAAAGACTATTTACAAAACAGGCAATCTGAAGAAAGGTTAAAATAGAGTAAAATGGAAGTTAAAACACACCCTTACATTGACAAGAAAAGGTAATACAATGTAACACGATACACATTGAATAAGGCATATTTCTTCAACAAATTTTGGGTAATGTTTCCTACATAACTAAAACACAGTTATAAATTTCAAAACATAGAAATAATAGTAAATACAAATTGACAAGTACAGTTATTATCATGTAGTGCGTATTACATACATGGAATATGTATGTAATATATGAATATAAGTACGCAATACACATGTAGATGAATGCTATAGTTCGAGTGTTTATTAAAATAGCTGTAAACTTAAAACAATTATCATTATTCAAACAGATATAAAGCATAAATAACTCTCTTAATAATAATTTTTGTTAGCCTCTTATAGAGGATACCTTGTAAATCAACAATCAATTGGACACACCAAGAAAATATACGATTTAATGTTGCCATTTTCTAAAAATAAAGAAATATGATCACCTTGGCAGTTTAATAAAGACCCTTAATATTACCATGTCAAGAAAAACAACAAATAAAAAAGATCTTCTAGTTTTACCTGCGATTTTTTTCTAACTATACTATAATTTTAGACAAAACCAATTCTTAAAAATTATGCCAAATACTTGGCATGATTTGTTTTTATAATTTATTGTACAAAAATTATAAAATAATTTTATAAGTTTTAAAAACTAACAGTGTAGAACACACAGTTTTATTTTTATTTAATTAAAATAAAGTATCACATATTTTCATAGAATTTATAAATTTTATGATGTAAAATTTAATAAAGTTAAAACCGTAAGAATTTGGAATAAACGTCAAAAGATTCTTAGTTATAACAATGTCATAAACATGATTACTACTACAAATTATTACTTTATATCTCATGTTTACAATCCACAGGTGTTTTCGTTATCACACCATATTAAAATGATTACATATTTTAAGTGCCCGACATATTCGGTAATCTCTTATGCTGTCAAAAAGTAAAAAACATAGATTTAAATTTCAACAGTCAAATCTCAAAAACACAATTACAAATTGCTAAGTACTCGCAAAACTAGCAGATAACGAATTACTAATTTTATCAATAATAATAATAATAATCATATAGAATAAATTTTACTTATTTAATATAAACATTATTATTAAAAAAAAACTCCAAAAATTATCACACTGAATTTCAACAAAAAGTGATATGCAAAAATTTATTTTTACATAAAATCTAATATTAAATTTTGATACTTACGTTTATTAGATTTTTGTCTTACAAAATTTCACTTCAAATACTGTTAACTGTTATACGTATATAATGACTAGATGGAAATTAATATTTAAAAAAAGAAAAAAAACAATAACGATGATAACAGACGCACAGGTAAATCGTCAACAAACACTGCGACGGAATGACTGAAGACATGGCAAGTATAAGTGGGGTGGTAGCCGCACTGTAACTCATAGCAACCAGCAGCGTTAGTAGCATCTGAGTTTAACAGTGTAGGTCTAGCAGGTAAGTATAAAATACCGTGCTAGAGTCAGATGTTAATACAATATTTTCGAAAGATTCTTTAATAAACCATATAATTGCTTTCAGGTGAAACTCATAAGTAAATAGCACATTTAATCATGTTTGTTATCATCAGTTCACATTGTGAAAATATGCAAAAATTTATTCGCTGCGGACAGGATTCGAACCTGTGCGGGCAGAGCCCATTGGATTTCGAGTCCAACTCCTTAACCACTCGGACACCGCAGCTGCTGCTGATAAATAACCAAAATGCACGTTTTTAAGCATAGGGTAAATAAAATGTATTGTGAATAATTAGAATATTAATCAATTTCAAACTTAAATAAAAAAATCGATTATTTTTCTGAGTTATATTTCAAAAAACATATTTTAAATAAATAACTTATATAGTATATTATATTTTACACATTGGATATTGTAGTTTCATATAAACAGAAAAAAGTTATGTTAAAATTTCAATCTGATTAGAAGACAGTAGTGGCGGTTACTAGGATGAAAAGCTACAATCCGGATCACTATCTTTTCCATGCTTTTTCAAATATTATAATGTAAGAGTATTTAACGCTTCAGATACTTCTGCCATTCAATAATCAAGATATCAAATATTTTTGTTGAAAAATATGATTTAAATTAAGAAGTGATCATTTGAGTCTTGATAGCCAAAAATTAAATTTCGATGACACTTTTTAGTTCTAATGAAGTAGTTCTTACTTTAGTACAAAATAAGATTTTTTATAGTTATAGGAAAAAAGTGACAGATTATCGACGAAATTAATTGAACAGTTGTCATAAGTTATCGGTGTATGCACAGGCCCGAATTAAGGAGGTCAACCACCATGTGGCCTACGAGCTCGAATTTTGCTTAGTCGTGGCAGAGTTTTTTTCTTTGTAGTAGCGATAATTTCCATAAGCGAGTATATCTCAAGGTACCGCTGCAGGGTCCTTGCAGGTCTTAATCCAACTCTGTAAATACCCCTCTATAATATAACATTGGCAGAGTAGTGTAACCAGATACGAGTACTTTGAATTGTAGAGGATGAAAGCAGGTAAATGAAAAAAAAATAACAAAGTCTTGACTTAATACAATAAACCAATTACAACCAACAACAATTACCGAGACTAATGAATGATAGAAAACATAAGACTACGTACTGGAATCGTCTGACTACCATGGCCAGGTTCTTTGGGTTTTAGTAGTATTTTAAACAATTGCTAATTTTTCAATAATTATTTTTGATTGTTGATTTAATAGTTACTCTGCCGTGCTAAGCAAAAACAGGATAACTCCAAAATTAAAAAAAATTTTTTTTTTGTTTCTATAGGTAAATTTAGTGGTTTTACACCGATTTTTGATGTAAAAGTAGCATATTTCCCATTAAAATCCATCTAAAATTGAAATATAAAATAAAAAAATATACGGTAAGTTCAATATATTTGATGTTTTGTAAGCGAAAACACGGTAAATCCAAATACTAAGCAAAAACTTGGTATATCACATAAAAAATAATGGAGTTACCATATTTGACTTATGTTCATACATTGGGAAAAAAGGGTATCTTGATTTACTGTTAAAAATGTTTTTTTGTGTTCCTGAAAAATCATGTTGAATGGAGTTATCCTGTTTTCGCTTAGCACGGCAGTACTAGTAGCAGATACGTTGTCTGTATCTATAATTTTCAAAAAAAAAATCAAGCACAGTGGGAACGTGACAAAGTTGGGTAAAGTGTAAATGATATCTGACAGTAATTAAAATTACTATCATAAAAAACGCTTCATAAAATCATAAAAAACTAAAAAATTATTTAATGAATTTTCTAAACATAACAATTAATTTAAAAAAAATTGAGTGAATAAAAGTGGCTATTAAAAGAATCGCCTTGTTACTTCAATTTATTATAAGAAATGTTTCTGTAACGAGCAGCTCTTTTCTTTTAATATATTTATTTGATTGACATTAAAAGCTGCAGAGAAGTTAACAGTAACATTAAAATTACTTTTACAATTATTTTTAAAAGTTAAATGGGGTATTTACTTCTTCCTATTAATATACTGCTTGGTTTAAAATATAGACAAGTTAATAGAAATTTTTTTTATTAAATTATATACGAAAAAGTATAATATTTACACCAAAATAATCTTTTTTGTTTAACTTATAGCATGTATTTCCGGAACATTTTTAAAAGTAAAGTTAAAAAAGTACTACATTTTATACGCAAATAATCCGACTTCTAAAAAAAATATGTATAATAAAAGGAGTGTACATAATTTATGTATTTAAAAAACCCAGCACAGGGGGATCGCGACACAGTGGTGACGTGGCATAGTTGGATCAAGTATAATGATATTTGACCGTGATTAAAATAACTATAAAAAAAAAACGCTTCGATGCAAATCTTTGGATAGTGTTTAATTTTAAAAAATTAGTGGATTATTCCAAAAGCTACATGATTTGCTATTTTCTTATTAATATCCTGAATGAAAAAGGGATTATTAATAAATATATTTCTCATAAAAAAATTGTGTTGATCCATACACTTTTCAATAAGTTATAGCATTATAAAGTTTAAAATGTAAAAAATAAAATCGAGAATTTTGATACAAAAATAGCCAAATAATTAACCAATAAAAATAGAAAGCCTCAGCTTCCAGGATCACGGTAGGGATCGCTGAGCTACCCCTTCGGCCTATAAAAAGCCATTTTACTCCGTCTAAACCAGTTTTTTAGGCGATTTTAAAATATACAAAATCTACGACACTATACTTAAGATTTCACTCTCCAGGACTTAGTTGTTTTTTTTATTAATTTGGAATTAGAATATTTTTCTTTGAAACTAAATGACATTTAAAAATTTTAAAGTGAATTTTGTTTTGGTGATTCTTTTAATTTAATTTAATTTGTTTATTTAATAATAAGGTTTTATATTTATTATTCATGGAAATAAATATCAAATAATATTTTAAACATTAAAACTTTTTTTAATTATTTTATTTCAATAATAAATCCAACCCAACTTTAAATTTTTATTTAATATTAAAAATCTATTGTGAGCTTTTCTTATTGGTAGCTAGTCTCTGATCTTAATGTCTTTGTTTTAACGAACATCAGAGCTAACAGAGCTAAGGGTCACAATTTTCTCAGATAATACTGAGAATTAAATTAATTTATTAATAAATTTATTGGACTAGTGTATTGCAACTCTATACTTACTGGGTAGCTAGTCATTGAGCTTAATGTCTTCGCTTTAACGAGCATCGCGCCGGCAAACATCGCAAAGAAACATACGAATATATTTTTAGTGTTTAAGTTTTGTCTTGGTGATTATTGTGCCGCATCCTTTCAAGGCGCTTGCGACGAGACACATTGGGCCACCACAATTACACCTTGATACATTTTTTACATAGATATAAATATTTTTGAATCTTGTTTTGGCCAGACCATAGGAAGATTTAAGAAATATTTTTATATTTAATCAATATAGAAATATATTGATGTAGATCTTTCAATAAAATATACTCTCTCAAAAAAATACTTATTCAACAAACATACAAATTTGAATAAGGACAGATTATAATTAAATTTCTAATAAAATATAGAGAGTATAGAATCTTTTACAAGTAAAATCAGTCATAGACTTTGTGTATTTATTTTATATTATTTTAAATTTGAATCGTTTTTTGTAAGTAATTATATTGACTATATGACGTATAGTGTAAATCGTATACGTAGTGCATTTAATACCAAAATCAACATTTGATTATTTGATATATTATTGCATTACATAGGACGTAAGGCAAGTACAATTTAACCTATGTTTTTTAACCTCCTACAATCAATTGCGTAATAAACCATTAATAAAAATTAAATAATTAATAAGAGAATTAATAAATTAAATTAAATTATATAAATTCATATAATATAATATTCCAAACAATTCCCCAATCAAATTAATTCTAATATATATTTTATATTTCTTTTTATTCCTTTAATTTTTGTTTTATTTTTATTTTTTGGTTTATTTCAGGGTTTTCTACTATGTATAGGGAACGGAGGAAAATTTTTTCAATTTTTGAAGGTAATGTCTTAAATTAGATACAATTAGTGGTCTTTTGACCTGTTGTTGTGAATTAGTCTAGTGTAAGGTGAATATAATTAGTGTTAGACACAAAAAAAAATTTAAAATTTAAAAAGGAAATAAACACCACTTGAGGTTGTATAAATTAGAGTCATTCCCAGCATTGCAAAGTATTTTTTTGAAATTAAAAAACTATCAATAATTATTTATAGTTCAAAAATGTTGTATATATTTTTCTAATTTGATCATGTAAGCTGAAACCTTATTGTAAATGTTCATAAATTGTAAAAACATGCCATCAATATTAATGTCCGACACATTACAAATACCTAGATTATCAGTTTATTAATGTAGTTTATTATTTTTCAAAAAATATTAATTGAATTTTGTAATGTTGCCAATGATAAATAAAAGAAAATAGAATTAGTTTGTTTATCGATCGAATTAGAATATATAACGTAATCGATTAAGGATAAGACCACTCATTTTCTTAAAAACTATTAAATATTTTAATTTATTATTGTAGAGTTTATTGACTCAAACAATATTACCTTTACAAAAATTGAAGATATTTATTAGTTACTAAGAAAATTAATGTTTATCCTAAATCGTTAACACTTCATATTTTAGCTTCGATGCGAAGCTGAGAAGGTATTGGTTTTATCCCATAATTAACTGGTTATTTTGTATTTTAATTAAAAGAACCCTGTTGTGGTGATCATGTATAATCATAATATGTGACATACATGTACAAATGATAACATCATATTAAATTATAAGTAATAATATAATATTACAACCCTTAAAAAATTACGAT